GAGGAGCACAGCAGGCCAGGCAGCATCAGAGGAGCAGGAAAGTTGACGTTTCTGGTCGGGACCCTTCTTCAGAAAAAGGGTCCCGACCCGAAATGTCAACTTTCCTGCTCCTCTGATGCTGCCTGGCCTGCTGTGCTCCTCCAGCTCCACACTGTTATCCCCAGCTATTGCCTGTTAGTTGTGGAGTTTTGCTACAGTTGTAGATGACATTGGTGAGACCACATCTGGAGTACAATGTGCTGGTTTAGTCTCCTTATTTAACTGGAAATCAGAACAGAGAATGTCCATTTGACCGATTCCTGGAATGAAGGTGTTATGAGGAGAGGTCAAACAGGCTGGGCCTGTACCCATTGCAGTTTAAAAGATTTGAGAGATCTTATTGAGACATATAAAATCCTGAGGGGATTTGACAGTGTGGATGTTTAACTTTGTAGGAAAGTCTAGGAATAAGGGCACATGTTTGAAAATAAGGGATCTCCCATTTAAAACAGATGTGGAGAATGTTAGGAACTCTCTACCCCAGAGACTGGTTGTGGTGGGGTCATTGAATAACTTTAAGGCTGAGTTGGAAGCGTTCTTGTCTAATAAATGAGTCAAATGTGAAGATAAGGTGACATTCACATCAACTATGATCTTATTGAATGGTGGAGCAGGCTGAATGGCCTACTCATCATAATTCACAGATTTGTAAAGCCCATTTGGTTCATGTGCTTTTAGGCAAGGAAATCTAGTCTGGTTTACAGATGACTCCAGACCGATGGCAATATGGTTGACTCTTGTTTGCCACTTGGTTCAAGGGGCAATTAGGGATGGGCAGGCAGCAATGCTCACATCCTATGGAAGGAAAAAAATTAGTTAAAAATTTGCTTACTTTTGAATGAAGAAACCCAAACCTTTTCTAACAGGCTGTGTATGTAATAGGTGCGGGCAGCAACTCTGTGAGTGGTGAGTTTCCCACTGAGAAACTGATGAAGGGTACCTTGTGGAGGATCAAAGGGATGCAGACAGCACCTTTGATCCTCCACATTTAATGGTGTGTATGCTGTCCCTAGAAGCAGCCCTCTGATTTACTCTGTAACAAATAATAGGCCACTACTAATACTGCTGCTACCAGATCTGCCTCCTAGTGTAAATGTGACTGAGTGAATTGAAGATTGTCCTCCACTGTAAACATATGTTTATAGGTTCTCATGGTGGTTCGGCTTCCTCTGAAAATGCACGAGAAAAGTAATAGATGAGAAACATTATAAAGAAATTGTCATAGAGTCATAGAGGTGTACAGCATGGAAACAGACCCTTCAGTCCAACTCGTCCATGCTGACCAGATATTCTACATTAATCTAGTCCCGTTTGCCAGCATTTGGCCATATCCCTCTAAACCCTTCTTATTCATTACCCATCCAAACACCTCTCAATTGTACCAGCCACCACCACCGCCTTTGTTTGGAGGCTTATGTGCTTGACTCCCCAAGACTTGCATTTCTAATTTTTTTTTAATGGTGTCTGCACATCTCAGTGTCCCAGATGTTTACTGTTCCAGTGCAGGAACTAGCAGCTAAGTAACGTACAGTAAGCTCTTACACAGCAATATAACAATGAACCAATCAAGTTTAATATAGGATAAATGTTGATTTGCCAGGGCACTTATTGGAGTTCTCACTCAGAGTGTTAGTGGATCTCTTGCAATCTCTTAAAAGTGCTGATGGGTTAATGTCACATCTGTAAGACAGCATTTCTTCCATTGCTGCACTCCCTCAGCCTGCACATGGCCATTTGGCCCATCAAGCCTGCACATA